AAGTTTCTCTAAGGAGACAGTGTGGATGAGTCTCCTACCATTTAAAACTATTACCCAGTTTTAAGCCACATGTATTTATTGTATATGTTTGGTTGTGTGCACTTCATTCACTCCTCCCTGGGCTGAGGGAAGAGTGAACTTCTGGGTCCTGCTAGGTAGTAGCTAGTGTGGGACAGGTGAGAGCGTTCAGGGAAGGAGGTCAGAGGACAACTTGCAGGGGCCACTCATCTCCCTGTACCATGTGGGTTTCTGAGATGGAACTCGGGGTGTCAGGCTTGATAGTTAGGGCATTTACCAGCTAAACCATCTCGCTGGCCCTATGAGTGAGCTTTTGAAAGAGTATTATGGTTTTCAACATCTGGTCCTTTTAAGAAAACTTTCACAGATTGCTCAGGTACTGACCAGTTTTCTAAATGACCCTCTGACCCTGTGAGGTCATAGACTGAGGAATCTCAGTGACCAGCTGGAGAAGGTCCTTTGTATCTCAGGGAAACTGGGGTCCAGGGACAGCCTCCACATCAGACACACAGGTGGTAGGGCTGAGCTAGGACTCAACCCTACCCCCTTCTCACCTGTGCCCTTCTCACCTGTGCCCTTCTCATCTGTGCCCTCCTCACCTGTCCCCTCCTCACCTGTCCCCTCCTCACCTGTCCCCTCCTCACCTATGCCCTCCTCACCTGTCCCTTCCTCACCTGTGCCCTCCTCATCTGTGACCTGTGCCCTTCTCGCCTGTCCCACACTGGCTACTACCTAAAAGGACCCAGAAGTCTTTCTGTTCACTCTTCCCTCAGCCCAGGAAACCCATCCTGCCACCCAAACCCTTCCACCTTCCTGACTTCCACACAGGTGCCAATGGCTACATCTTTTCTACAGTGCCCTCAGGTTGGTCCTTTCCACAGGCTGTCCTAATTTCCTGGGAGAGACTGCCACGTTGGCGGGAACTCCCAGGGTCCAGGCTGCTGTGTGTGCCCATGCTGCATGATCCCCTACCACCCATACATTTATTTGTTCAAGAGCAGGCTTTGTGCCCCGGGCTGGGTACTTAGGAGAGGAAGGCCAGGCTGGGTGATCAAAGAGGCAGGAAGAGCTTCAGGAACAATGCCGCTCAGAGGGGCTGGGACTGTCCACTACTCTAAGAGTGAGGACTGCGCCCTGCCCCATCAGGCTCTCCACCATCTAGAGGACCCACTAGGTGCATTCCTACAGGTGTGTTGGTCCACCTCACACCCCAGGCTCTGTATGTCCACCTGCTTTATAGACAGCAGCCAGACCAAGGCCATAGCAGGGTCTGCAGTCTTATGGTCCCCCAGTGGTATCTCTACTATAACCCACAAGCGTTCCTGTCCAATGGGTGCACTCACCTGAAGTAAAAGTCAAGTGGCATGAGAAAAAGGGACATCTGCCTGCTAGGCGGCCTGGGGGTTCATTTCAAACCTCACTGTGGGTAAGCTGTGCACCTTGGGGAATTCACCTAACCACTCTGGTCAAGTAGGTAGCCCATCTGAAAAATGGGCTTGTGTCCTGAGGCCATTTTCTCCATTCAAATGTTTACCCTGTGGTCAAACAAGCTCAATGTCACTCATAAGAGAAAGAAAGTTGGAGCTGTGGGGAAAGTGACAGTGGGGGGTGGGAGGCTGGCCCCTTCATCCAACAGCCTCCACATAACACCCCTTGTGGGACAGCATGGAACAAGCCTGGGGTGCCTGGCCTCACACTAGGGGTGCTTTGTGCTTCACTAGCCCTGTGTGTCAGCACCACAGGAGCTTCCAGAAGCCCTGTAATGCAAGAAGATGGATCTCAGAAAGGGGAGTAACTTGCCTAAGATCCCACACAGATTATAGGCTGGTGTCTAGACCCCAAGTCTGTGTCTACCCAACTATAAAAGCTGTCATTGAAAGCCTACAACCAAGGATTCTTCGACTTTCCCTCTGAGCCTGGGGGCATATCACAGGGTAGCCTTCTTCAAACACATCACACATGGGGGATTTAGGTAATTTGCTTCATTAAGTGATTCAGTTTCACCACATGAGCCTCTGGTCCTGTCCCAACAGAGGCAGTAGGGAGCAGAGCTAGCCCCTCTAGGGGCCCAGGAAAAGTACCCTGCTTCCAGATTCTCTACTCCTGCTTAAAAGTTCAAGCTGATGCTCTCCCACCAGCAAGATGTAAATCCTCTAGGTCCCCAAACAGAGAAAGCCCCTCCTCTTGCGCACACACACACACCCATCTCCACAGGCAGGTGTCTAAAAGACAGCTGGTCTCAGGGTCATTCTCATGGTACATGGGAACCAACCGAGGACTCCAGCATGACAGGACTCACCTAAGGTCCCAGAGCAAAGGTCACACTTCAAGGGCAGGTGCCGGAGGGCCAGCAGCCCTCCCTCACACAGACAGTCCCTTCAGTAGGGGAGCGTGGTGCCATCCCCCCTCCCTGCGCGCGCGCGCGCGCGCACACACACACACACACACACACACACACACACACACACACTCCACTCCCAGGGAAGAAGCAAAGTTGGGCCAGGAGCTGTGTAGGGAAACTGGAAAGCCAGGCTGTACTGGTTATCCTCAAGGCTGCCAAGTACAGGAGATTCCAGCTACTGCTCTACTGAGCACCTTCAGCCCCCTCCCAGCTCTCCTTCTACCCTCGACTCCACCCCTTTCCCCCACACTCCTAGTGTTCCGTTGCCGACTCCCTCCACTCCCCTTTCCAAAAGGACAGGTGTCTGGGATCACTGAGGAGTGGTCCAAACCAGAGGAGTAGAGCAGCTCTCGGGGAGGTTACCTGGTGTAGCCCCGGCAATAGGGCGCGCGTCTGTCCCGCGGAGGCTCTGACACTGGCCTGGGGGCTCACACCCCCCTCCCCAACCTCGGCCTCCACCAAGCAGCGGCATGGAAAACCCAACCAGCTCAGCTGACTTCCTCTTGTGTCATGGAAAGAGCGGGTGTTAGGACAGGAAACTGTCGCCTGGGATCTGGGGTCTGAGCGGGGGCACCAGGGCCAGGGGCCTGGAGGGATGCAAGGGGCAGAACCACCACGCGGGGTTATTACTAAGGGGGCGTGGGGGGGAGGGGCCAGGGGCTGCAAGGGGACCACAGACCCAGGAGTGGAGGGACCCTACCACGAGGGTTCCGCAGGTACAGAGCCAGTAACTGGGGCAATACTTTCAGTTTTCTACAAAGGATGGAACACAGAATGGAAGCCACTTAGTAGATGACCCTCACATCTTGCGGAGGGCAAGACTGGAAAGAAGCCTAAAACCCGGGGTTTGGGTTGCCTTTGATAAAGAAGAAAGAGTCTGGAGGGCTGTGGAGGGGGACGTCGGTCGTGTGTGAGACTGGAAGCTGCATTCCCATGCTGACTGAGGCCATCCCTCCTGGCTGGGGTCAGTGGACCGGGAAGCTGGTTCTTCCCAGCTGCTCTCTGCAAACTGTGAGGGAATAGGCTGTGAAGGGCACTTAAGAAATAGAAAGGGGCGCTGGGATGTAGCTCGGCTGGTAGAGTGTTTGCCCCTTAAGGACGAGATGCTGGGCTCCATCCCCAGCACCAACTGTCAAATGACAGGAACCCTAAGTCATAAGGGTCCCCTGGTCACAGCAGGAAGGGACTGTGTCTCTCTCTTTCATCCTTGCATTTCTAGTTCTTTTCGTTTGCTTGCTTTTTTTTTTTTTTTTTTTTTGCTTTGTTTTCTTTTGTTTTTTGAGACAGGGTTTTTCTGTGTAACAGTCCTGGCCGTACTAGAACTTACTTTGTAGAGCAGGTTAGCCTCAAACTCAAAGAGACCTGCTTTCCTCTGCCTCCCAGAGTGCTGAGATTAAAGGCGTGTGCCACCACCACTGGGCTGCATTTCTAGATCTTGCATAAAGTAAATGTTTGATGAATGAATGAATGAATGAGTCCAGATTTTCAAAACCATACAATATGGAGATCTCATACCCAACATAAAGATCTCAACCCTAACATGGAGATCGTACACCCAGTATGGGGATTTTACACCAACACGAGATCTCCGTTTCTCTCATACACACACACACACACACACACACACACACACACACATACACATGCCCGTACACACACTGGTACAAATCCAACTTTCACGAAGCCATTCCCCTCACTGTACTTACTGGTAAAATATCACTCACAGACTCCTAGGCATGGTGAATTCACACTTTTAAGTCCAGCACTTGTGAGGCTGAGGCAAGGATTACCATAAATCCCAGGCTAGCATGGGGTACCTAACGAAACCCTGTTTTTTGGGGTTGGGTTTTTTGTGGGGGTCATTTTATTTTGTTTTAATTCCCCATAGGGCAACGGTTCTCAGCCTATGGGTCAAACTCCCTGGGGGTCCAATGACCCTTTCACAGAGGTTGCCTAAAACCATCAGAAAACACAGACGTTTACATTAAGGTTCATAACAGTAGCAAAAGTATAGTTAAGAAGCAACAAAAATAATTTTATGGTTGGGGGGGTCACCACATAAGAACTGTATTAAGGGTTGCGGCATTAAGAAGGTTGAAAATACTGACATCGGGATTCAAGGCACACTACAGACTTCCAGTGTGGTCCACCATGGTGGGGTTGGGAGGCGAGAGGGGCTTGACAAGGCTAGCGTGTCTGAAGTGTACCCCCTTCCCACCTCCCACAGCCCCAGCCCCACTCAGAACACTCTGTCTCGGGCCCTTGCCTGGTCCACCCTTCTCACCTCAGGTCAGCTCTCCTTAGAGCAAGATACCCTCTCTGTGGGTGCCCAGCCTCTCCCTGCCCCGCATCTCACAAGGACACCAGGCTCTACCCAGGCACGAACACGGCCAGTGGGCACTATCACGGCTCTAAGCATCTCAAGCAGGAAGCCGGCAGGCTTGGGCCTCCATTCAAATTGGGGCAGGTGGTTTCACCAGGAGGAAGTTGACAGTTCAACTTCAAACAAGGTAGCAGTGACGCAGGCCCACCCTGCCTGCTTCCCCGTTCCACCTCTGCTCATGCCCCCTCCCTCCCGGAGAGTGAGACACTGAGCCAGACACCTTTCCAGGCTGACTACCAAGCTCACTGAGGCTGAGGCAGTAGAAGGCCGCATCCATGGACTCCCACCAAGTGCTGCCGGCTGCCGCGTACCTGCTGGGAACCCTGGGTGAGTCTCTGCCAGGTTCCGCCAGACAGGATACCTGAGCAACGTGGGGTACAGGGAGGAGACCTCAGTTCCTCCCAGGTCAGACTCTGGGCCCATGTGCAATACCGGGGAGGTTTAGGGCCAGAGCCCAGGTCAACTTCCCAGTCGCAGCTGGGCTCTGCTTGCCCATTCTTCCCCAGGATTGCCCAGCCTGATTCTCTGTATTGTTGAGAGTTACTCGGTCTTGGGCTACAGCGTGGTGCCCAGGATTGGTCACCTCTAGGGAGGGAGAAAGCTCGTGTTGAGGATGCTCGGGCAGACCGGTACCTTCACGAGGATGCGGAAGAACGGATACCAAGCTCAAACAGGCGCCCTGGGTCCATCCTAAAAGAGTCCCCCACTCCTGAAACTTGCTCTAGACCCAAGGCTCTGACGGTGGCCATCAGTGGCATCAGGAGAGGGGAGGCTGGCTCAACTAGCCAGAGGTGTGCTGTGGGAGTTAGGCCTGGAGGCCCAAGCCCTGGGCTCTCAGCTTGATCATGAGATCTTCCCATACACAGAAGGTGGCTACATCGGGGCAGGGGTACAAAGAGGTATAAAGAGGTGTGGCAGGGAGAGGGTTGCTGGATGCCAGTGTGGCAGGGAGGAAGAGATGGCATCCTGTTCTGCAGAGAAGGGGCTGAGGCCGCAGATACTCGGTCTTCACCTACAGCTGCTAAGTGAGTGTGGGGATGTGTAAGTTTGGATGGGAGTGCGTGTGTGTTTTAGAGAGCGTGCACACATTTTTAATGTGTGTATGTATGAGAACTGTATGTGTACTCTCCTGGATACTACGTGGCTTCTTCATTCATGTTACCATGTCTTGGATGGCCATGCATACATCCCTTGTCCATATTGCAACAAGAGGTACAAAGTGCCTTCTTGACAATCCTTGACTCACTTCCTGGACACTACCAGAACATTGCTGTGCCCTCTTCAGTCTCTAGAATCCCAAAAGCCAAGCCTTTACCACCCCACAAGCCAGTCCTCCCCTATAGCTTCATACCCACACACAGGGAGGCTAGATTCACCCAGGCTCCCCATTGGGCATGGAATGGGCTCCTGAGAAGACTAACAGGTACCCCAGCCCCATGGAACCCAGAGTCCAGGAGCGATGGAGGCAAACCTTCACCCTCACCGCAGCGGCATCATTTGGAGGTCGGGGAAGACATGGTCTCTGTGTGTAGTTAGAACTTATAGGTAGAAAGCAATCTCATGGTGCTGGGGGCAGGTGGGGAGGGGTCACAGCTCATAATTTTATTTTTATGGTTCTAGGTTGGACCCAGGGCCTTACATGCTAGGCAAGCTAACACTGAGCAATATCCTGCCAGTTTTTACTTTTAAAAAATGTTTTTAGACATTTATTTGTGCATGTGTGTGCATGCATGCACGCATATGTGTGTGTGTGTGTGTGTATGTGTGTGTGTGTGTGCACTTGTGCCACTGGGTCAGAGGGCAACTTGCAAGCGTCAGTTCTCTCCTTCTGCCATGGTCCCAAAGACAGAACTTGGCTCATCAGTCTTGCCAGAGAGAGCCTTTACCCCCACTTAACCGTCTCGTTGGCCCTCAGTTTTTTTAGGTAGGTTCTCCATACAATGACCAGCTGGCCTTGAACTCACTCCATATCCCAGGAGTGCCTTGAACTTACAATTCCGCTGCCTCAGTCTCCCCGGGAGTTAGAATTACGGGCCTCTGCCACCAGGCCTAACTTTCATGAAATCCTCTTGAAGCCATTTTTTTTCTGTAAGCTTCTGAATAATACAGGATGTGGGCCCATCACCCCATTTTACGCTGAGGGAACACTGAGACCCAGGAGTGACAAGCCCAAGGTGGAGTAGATGGTAGGCAGCACGGAGAACCTGGCCCGACATGCTGCCCTCACACAGCTCCACTGCCTCCGTAGGAGAAATAGGTCCCCGACGCCATTCCCACACGTCAGAGCCTGGCTACAGGAGAGGCCTCCATCAGCAGACACACAGAGGTCAAGGCACAGGGCTGGGGACACCCCAAAGCCTGAGAAACGAAGATGTGTACAGCCTGGCTACATTAGAGTGTCAGTCCCATGGTGCCCCCTCTTACAATTTTTCTGAGCCCCAATCATGACGTGGCTTGGAGACATGGCTCAGACACTGCACAGCCCGAAAGACCGCACAGTGACTCCAAAAACCAATTTGAGTCCCACTCTGTCGCTTTTGGCTGGGTGACATGGTCTGGTTTGGTAAGTCTCCTCCACTGAAGTAGGAAGTAGAAACAGGACCATATGGTTAAAAGAATTGACTGACTCTCGGTAGGTCTAGCCTGCACGTAGTGGAGGTAGCGCACAATAGACATCAGAGTCATCCAGAAGCAAGGCAAGGCCGGACAGAGTCGGGAGGGGTCTTAGGTACTCGTCACACACAGATCTTCTCCCCGATTCTTCACGAACATGTTCACTCACTCACTCATCCATCTACACACTTGTTTTGAGCATCTCTTAGATACTCAGCTTCTTACAGCAGCAGGAGCCAAGGCAGACATCCCGGCCGGTGGCCTGCCCAGCTCAGAGGAGACTGACTGGAAGCCTAGGCACAAGAGAGGGCCCCTCACTCAGCATAGAGACCTGGCTGTGCAGGCACAGGACCTTTTGAAGAGGATGACATGACCTCTGCCACCCTGAGACACAAGTGATAAGAAGAACCAGCTAGGCAGAGAAAGGAGGGGAGAGCGACCTAGGTAGAGGTAAATGCCACGGGGAAAGAAGAGCCCTAGGGGCTGGGTATGTGTTAGCCAGGAGCAGGCTGTGAGCTGCTGTCCCAGGATACATAGTCAAGGATGTCTTGGGCTCTAAGCACAAAGGATCAGAACCCTGGCTGATCCTGGAAGCCAGGGGCTGGTACTAGCCCTGTGGTCACTCAGCATGGCTCCATCAAGAAGTCAGATGATCTCCTAGAGTGACCAGGACAAGAATTCAGTTGGACAGCGAGGAGCACCGATTCGGTGCTCTGTGTTTATGTGTATGCATGTACATGTGTGCAGTTGGCGTGCAGGGCAGGGAAGGAGGATCTAATTTTCTTTCTTTTTAGTCACCCAGAGTGACAAGAACGTCTCTGGCCCTTGGTCTCCTCATCTAAAACACAGGGTTAAGCTGGGCATGATGGTAATCCCAGACTTCAGGAGACAGAGACAGAAAGGTCACAAGATCCAGGACAGCCTGGGTTACACAGTGTGTAACCTGCCTCAAAAACCAGCAAACAGAACAGAGCACCAGAAGCCTGTAGCTGTGCTTCAAAGGATAATAGCAGTAGTTTCTGGGGATTCATCCAGAAACAAACACTGGCTGAGTACCTACTTTGTGCTGAATACACAGAGAACGAAGAGACAAGATCTCTGCCCTGGTGGGTCTGAGACAAAGATAGTATTTGTCTGTTGGTGCTAGAAGGGCATTCATGGGTTGGCAATAGATAAGGGAGGTCTTACAAAAAGAGAAGATGTTCACACACAGGCAAGGGCAGTGAGCAAGCCTGCCACCGGGTGGGCCTGGGGGACCCTGCAGAGGGCCTTTGGCTCCGCAGGTCCAGTGGAGGGAATGAGAGAGGGAGACCACGGAGGCTCCTGGAGGACAAGCTTCTGTCCTATAGATAGGAGGACAGAACTGTCTCTCTGGGACTATGAGTTCTCATCCTGATCTCTAGCCAGATGTGCTCCAGAATCCAGAAGCTCTCCAAATGTAGACATCTCATTTTATATCTTGAAGAGGCCTGGGGGCAGCGCTGGGTCACAGAACACATGCCCGCTCCTGCAGGGACACCTGGGCTATCGGGGACCCAGAGGAGCCCCGCATTCTGTGTCAGATAGTGGGTGTGACGCACAGTGCTGCTTACCTCCAGCTAAGTAAGTGACTCTGGCCAAGTCATCTTCCTTTCGGAACTTTGGTTTTCCCAAACGTGGGAAATTGAATGTGGAGGCAAACCCTGCCCATTTTATATAGGGCTGTTACGGCAAGATCAGACTGCAGCGCTGAGCTTTGAAATATGTGAAGGTCAGCACACCTGCAATCCCAGCACTTGAGTGAGGAAGCCAAGAGGATCAAGGAGTTTCAAGGCCATCCTCTGAGACATAATGAGGCCTAGGCTAACCTGGGCTACATAAAACACCCCCCCCCCCGTCTCTCTCTAACACACACACACACACAAAGAAGGGGGAGGCTGTCAGGGACAAGCAAAATGGTGAGATTATTGCCCCATCTAAACCCTCCACCCTTTGTGCATGCTCCATCTCCCAGGTTGCTCCTGGAAGGGCAGGTATTGGGGTAGTGTGTGCACACAGGTCATAGCAAAAGGCATCAGCTATAACCAAAGGTGTCATTGGGTACTCTATCCGAGACCCCAAATCCTGGCTCTCTCTGACCTCTGTTTCCAGAAAGCTTTGACAGAATCAAATGAGGGACAACCCCACTGATAAATGTTTGTTTAGGTTTGGTATTCCAGAAAAGTGGGTTTTAGCTGGGTAGAGCGGAGCACACCTTAATCCCAGCACTGAGGAGGCAGAGGCAAGCAGATCTCTGAGTTCAAGGCCAGTCTACTCTGCAAATCAAGTTCCAGGACAGCCAGGTGCTACACAGAGAGGGGAAAAAAAACGTGTCTCAGAAGAAAAAAGAAAGAAAGAAAGAAGCAAAGACAGAAAGGAAGAGAGAGAGAAAGACAGAGAGAGATAGAAAAGGAAAGAGAAAAAAGAATAGTGAGGAACCCCCCCCCCCTGTCACTTTCATGTAACTTAGAAATCAGGTGGCCTCTTTACCCCATACACAGTGATCCCGATTTCTAAGTTATCTTGCTCTATGGAACAAGATAGTAGCATCTTCATTTGAGGCTTTAGGTTTAGGCAAGAACTGGGTCTTCATGAGAGAAGATCGCTGGCAAGGGGCCTATCATAATAAAAAGCTACTATTGCTATTGCCAAGATTCCAGCCCCTCCCTCTGACTCCCAGTGCCTACCAGATGCTAAACCAGTATGTCCAGCTTGAAAACGTCAGGCAGGACCTCTGAACGGGTCAGAGGCAGAGGGCTGAGTTTAGTTTTGCCGCCAGCTGCCGTGAGTCAGGTTCTGTCCTGCAGAGTGCCTTACAGGGTAGCCCTGTGAACTGTGACAGCCTGGCCACCAGTAAGGCATCCATTGCAGAGGGCCATGAACATGTGTCAGCCATTCCGAAATCCAGAAAATACTTAAAATTCCTGGCAAACAGGTCTTTACAAGACAACTTGCAGTCCTAGGGGGCTATTGATAATCCGGATGCATCCCATTCAGGCCGGGAATGTGTGTGTCTCGCTGGAGACAGCATCATGTGCCTCATCCAGGTCTCAGGAGACACAGGGAGAAAGCAGAACCCCTCAGTTCCAGCAAATGAAAAGATAAAAGTAGAGACTGTTGGCCGAGGCCCTGGTGATGGCGTCACAGCCCACGGCCTGATTTTCAAAACCATCTGAAGCTTCATCAGATTTATTTTAAAAGCAAAGTAAAAGAAGTCTTAAAAGTTGCACCCTCCCCCTTCCACTCCAGAAAAAAAGGAAAGAAGAAAAGAAAACCGTTAAGCATTGCCTGGAGCTAATAAAACTCACTAGTGGGGAGATGCAGCCTGTGGATGCAGCACAAGAAACCACAGCGAGCATCATAGGCTTGCTCAGGGCAGAAGGAAGGACGAGATACCTCAGAGCAGCTCTCAGGGATTCCTCTGACCCTTTCTGAGCCCTGTCAGCTCAGGCAGGCTCAAAATTATTGGATTTAATCAATGGAGACAAGAGACTGAGCTAGGAACAGTGGCTTCTTTGGCCAAGGTCTTTGTCTGGGCTTGCTCAGTTCAAGCCCTGCATTGTGGGAGCCTGCAGGATGTTGGGCAGGGAAGGAAAAAGCCTTGCAATCCTTAGGTGTTGTTCCAGCAGCTTGGAGGAGAGGTGTGGGTGGCAGAGGATGAGATGGGGTAATGTTTCCATGCCCCATGACCCTGCAGTCTCTAGGGTCTACAAGCAGAGTCCTGGGTTGGGGTTGGCTACAGGAGTTTCTGAGGGAACTGGGCAGAGGTGAAGTGTGGCTCCAGAGGAGGTCAAGGAGATGCTGAGCACAGCCTGCGGGACTCAGGCCTAGGAGCGTGTTCGTGGGTTCCTGTGAGAGTGGCAAATGAATGAAAATGGGTTGTGGACAGGCAAAGAATCAGCATGCCGCGAGTCTTGCTCTGCCAGACGCCTTTAAGACTCGTTAGAAACACAGGCTGGAGATTATGTACCGTTAGGCCAAGAGGAAAGTGAGGATTATGGAACTGAGCTTCATCACGTTATAGACCAGTGAACTGAGCTCAGAGAGCTGCCAGCATCACCCAGCAGATTCAGTCTAGCCGTGGTTTATCTTGACTGCTCGAAACACGCAGGAATTGATGTAACAAAGCACAGCAGACAGTTTGGCCTAGGAGGAGAGCCCAGCCTCTTGGCCACTAGCTGTATGGGTAAAATATTCACCTCTCTCAGTTTCCTCTACCAAACAGGAACCAAACCAATCATACCTATCAAATGGCATAGTGGACAGAATTGAAAGATTCAATTGAAAAATTCCCAGAAGAGTTAAAACTAAAGATGCTGATGACCGAAGGGATGATGACAGCGATGGTGGCAGAGATGAGGGTAGTAGTAATGGCAAGAGTGGCCAAGTGATGGTGGTGGCAGCAGTGATAGAGGTAATGTGATAACAACGGTGATAGTGATGGTGATGATGGTGCACACGGTGACAGCGGGGATGATGGCGGTAGTAATGATGGGATGCTGGCAGAGACGGAGGTGGCGGCCATGAGAGTACTGATGGTGATAATAATAGTAGTTACATGACGATAGAGGTCATGGTAATAGTGAGGGTGATGGAGAGAGAAGGGAAAACATGGTTCATGTGAGGACCAAACAGAATGAGCCACACCCTGGAATCCACAGCTACCTTCTCTTATCAAATTCAACAAATCACTTTCCTTATTATTGGTGTGTGTGTGCGCGCGCGCGCGTGTGCGCGTGCCACAGAGGTCAGAAGACAGCTTTTGGGAATCAATTCTCCTTCCATCTTATTGAGGTGACGCCTCTCATTTTCTGCTGCTGCGCTGTGAACTCCAGGCAAGCTGGACCCCAAGTTGCTGAGCGATTCTGTGTCTGCTGCTCTTGCCGTGGGCGTGCTGGGATTGCAGATGAGTGCCAGCTCATCCGACGTCGTACTCAGGTCACCAGGCTTGCTTAACCACCCCATTTACCCTGCTTTCCTTCTTAGGACAGCGGCTGGCGTCAGCTCTTCTGACTTTCCTAAGGAAATTTTCTGAGCAGGACCAATGCTGCCTGTGTGGTGTCTAGCCGTGGGGCCTGGGGTCCTCAAACCCAGCCCTGTCCAGGGGTTTCTAAGTCTGGCTGCTCAGGGTCAGGAGTTCAAGCATGGTAGTCTCTGGATCTCCAAACGGGAAACCTGGGAGTGGCTGCTGAGAAGCTGAGAGCTAGCCAGAGGCCACAACAACCTAGACCCTGACTATCTCTAGCCAAGTGTCTGATACTCAGAATGAGTGCAGCAGATTAAGAGCCCTGTGACCTGCCCTCTGCGTTTCCGAAGCAAGCCCTCTGAATCCTCCCACTGGGAAAGCTCCCCAGAGGTCTGTGGCCACACCTGCCCCACCCAAACAGCAGTAACCCCGTCTATGAACACTGAGACGGGCTTGGGAGGCGCTAGGCTAAGCTCTTCACATAGAGGGGTCCAGCTCCATCTCTCAGCATAGCCTCCACACTGTGGATGGGGAAACTGAGGTTTCAAGGGTTAAGATAGGAGAACGTGCTTCCCATGCCCACAGGCAGAAACAACAGAGCAGACCCTCAAACCCAGAGCACCTCTAGGACTGAAAATCAGCCCTGCGTCACACAGGAGCAAAGGGCAGACCTAAGCGTCTCCTTTCCCCGTAGCCACCACTTTAAGCACTTCAGCCCTCGTGATTTGGCCAAGTGAGTGACTCTCTAATGGTGGCTTTCCCAGTCCCCATGGGGGAGCCAGAACCAGAAAGAAAGAGGACTGAGAGAGAGGTCAGAGGTGAGGAAGAGCAAAGGGTTCCTGCCTTCTCTCTTGCCCTGTAGCTAAGCTTCTTCCCCGCATCTTCCTGAGGCCAAACTGTATCCGCCTGTCTCTAGCTCCCCAGAATTAAGATTAGGATCACAAGGGCATGCCCAATGTCTGGTTTTACACATGGGCTCTGGAGTTGAACAAACACCCTTGTGCTTGCAAGACAAACTCTTTCCTGACCAAGCCATGTCCGCAACGTTGCTGTCCCCAAAGCAGTTCACGCCCTCCCAATGCCGGCGTGTTGTACTGTCCTGTATTCTGCTCCATTTCCTTTTTAAGAAGAGGAATCACTATAAGGGACAGGCAGAGCGAGAAGTCCCTGTGGGCAATGAAGCTGGCGTGTAACTTGATGGGGATGGAGGTCATGCATGTGGTACATGAATCAATTCTACTTGGGTATCCATTGAGAAAATAAATGTTTAAAAGAGAAAATCGATGGCTGCAGCCCACAAAATGGATTCCATAACCACTTCATGACAATCCCTGCCGTGGAATCTCCTCAGCAGTGGGGTGGAGGCACAGCCAGCCAGGGCCACTGCAGGCCCTTGGAGCTGAGGGAAAGGGGGGAGGGGATTCACATTCTGACCTCCTTCTCTCCTTTCCACAGTTGCTTTCTGCCATGGTCAGTCCCGACTGGATGACTCAGGTAAGGAAGACCGTGAGAAGTGGGGCGGGGAGAGAGCCAGGCAGCAGTATCGTGGGCTACGTGAAGATCTGCCTATTCAAAAGCTGCCTCCTCCATCACTATGAACCCCATCTCTTGCGAACACTGAGCCATCAGCGTGCTAGTACGTGTTCAGGGGGCACCCTCTGTGGCCATAAAGCACCATGTGAATCTAGCTAGCATGCCCCCCGCCATAGTCTGTGGGCAGGAAGCGTACCCATCCACAAATGTGCCTCACAAAGTCTTATTTCCTCTCTGGTCCTCCGTGGTCATGGACACTTCAGACAGGCTGTGGGAAAAGCTGGGTTAGGTTGCACTACTACTCAGGTGGAGTATGGGGCTTACCATGCTCAAGGCCCTGAGTTCTATCCCAGTGCATAACAACAAACCAAAGGGTAGAGTGGCTGCCTCCCACCTACACATCCTCTACACATCTGTCATCTCTAGATTATTTAGAATCCTAACCCTGTGCAAAACTGTGTTCAGGGAACACTGACAAGAAAGGCATGAAGAAAGAAATGAATCCAGGGCAGACAGGCCTGACTGCGTGTGTGTGTGTCGGGGTGGAGTGGGGGAGTGCTTTTCCTCACACTGGCCATATTTTTTGAGACAGGATTGGTTCCCTAATGGCCTAGAGCTTAGTAAGCTAATATGGCCAGTGAGTCTCGGGCATGCCTGCCTCTGCCTCCACAATGCTATCATTACAAGGGCCTGCTACCATGTCTGGGTTTTTTTGTTTTTTTTTTTTGTTTGTTTGTTTGTTTTGTTTTTTTGTTTTTTGCGTTCTGGAGACCACTGGTTTTCTTGCATGCAAGGTAAGCATTGTAAACATTGAACCGTCTCTCCAGATTGTCTTCTTTTTTTGTTTGTTTGTTTGTTTGTTTGTTTTTTGAAACAGGATTTCTCAATGTAACAGTCCTAGCTGTCCTGGAACTAGCTCTTGTAGACCAAGCTGGGTCTCAAACTCACGGAGATCTGCCTGCCTCTGCCTCCCGAGTGTTAGGATTAAAGGAATGTGCCATCACTGCCCAGCCTTTCTTCATTTTTGATCTTTACTTGGTTGAGCCACAGATACTATGTCCTCTGTCTCTCTGTGTGTCCCCCCACCCCACCCCACCCCACCCCCGTGTGTGTACAAAGAGATTCTGGGAGGATATGTTTAGATGTTTTCAAACATAAGAAAAAGTAGAGCCTTGCAGTGGTGGCACACACCTTTAATCCTAGCACTTGGGGGCAGAGGCAGACGGAGCTCTTGAGTTCAAGGCTAGCCTGGTCTACAGGGTCAGTTTCAGGACCGCCAGGGCCACACAGAGAATCTCTCTCTCTCTCTCTCTCTCTCTCTCTCTCTCTCTCTCTCTCTCACACACACACACACACACACACACACACACACACACACACACAAAGTCCAAACCAAACACACACTCCACCACTAAGCTACACCTCCAGTCCCATCACCCCTTGGGGGGGGCAGCTTGTTTGCGTGTTTATTTGTGAGTTTGTTTGATTGTTTGTTTGAAAGCTATATGACCCAGATTGGCCTCAAACTTACCAAGAATGACTTTGAGCCCCTGATCCTCTGTCTTTCACCTCCTGGGTGCTGGGACGACAGACATGTGCCACCTTGCCTGGCCCCAGACATTTTACATGAGGAACATAAGCATCTGTGGATTCTAACATCTAATGGTCCTCGGAGCACTTTACATGGGTTCCGAGGTCACCTTTAGATGTTATCTACTCCTCTCCCATCATGGATCTTTATAAAGTAACAAAGTCAAAAGCCTGCCTAGAACCTAAGAATTTCACTGTAAGGTATTAACCCAAGAGAAATGGAAACACAAGCCCACATGCTGGCCTGCACATGTAAATTTATCAGCAGTTTGATTCACAGCCAACGGAACAATCCACAAGATACATAGAAAAGAAATGGGGGAAGACTCACACAATGAAATATTATTATGCACACAGCACAAAGACATGAATTACTGATCCACACAGGAACACACATAAGCTTCAAATACATGTAGAGGACAAGAGACCCTAGCAAATGATGCTCTGTGGTTCAGTTCAATTGTGTGACCCTGGAGAAGACCAATCTTTCATGGCAGATAGCAGGGCAGTCCTTGCCTGAGGCCAGAGTCAGGGAAATGAACTAGCTGTTGGGGAGCAAGCAGGAAGTGTCCAGATGATGGACAGACGCTGCATCTGGGTCACAGGGTGGCTGTGTGGTTGCAGATGCTTGTCAGCTCTCACAGAGCAGAACCCTTAAAATGAGTGTGCTCCACTGCATGAAAACTGTGCCTCCAGAAAACCGATGTTTCATGTTTTGCTTCACTGAGACAGACTCTCCTGCACCCCAGGCTGTCCTCAGACTCACCACGTAGTTGAGAATGACCTTGAACTCCTATTTCTCCTGCCTCCACCTGCCAAGTGATGGAATTACAGACGTGCACCAGCACACCCAGCTAATACAATTAATTTTAAATGTTAAAACAGAAGATGTTGGGAAAAAGAGCTGGGAAGATGGCTCGGTCTAGTAAAGTGCCTGCGCATGAGGACCTGAGTTCAATTCCCAGAGCCCACATTAGAAAGAAAAAAAAATCAGGACACTTGTAATCCTTGCTAGGCAGGAAGAAATGGACAAATTCCCAAGGCTTGCTGGCCAGCAGGCCTGGCTGAATTGGCAAGTCCAGCTCCTGGTGAGGTACCATGTCTCACAAAACAAGATAGACAGCTAGCTCCTGAGGAACGACACTAAAAATTGACTTCTGATCCCTGACACACATGTACACACACACACACACACATCAGGCCACAACTCAGGCCTACTGAAACTGAATTTCCAAGATTGGTAGGATTTTGTTGGACAGAAAGTGCTGAGAACATCTTGTCCACAGCCCCAGGGTTCCCTCTAGCTCAGAAATCTGAGCCACCACATAGGGCCAACATAGCACCCTGCCTGACTCTAGGAAGCCTCTGTGGTGCTCTAAAAGAGGAAACTCAGAAGGGGAAGCAAGAGCTGAGCCCCTGAGGAGAGCTCTTCCTCCATCACCTGACAAACCCCACTACTTCTTTCTCCAGGTCTCCAGGTGACACTAAGTGGCCTCAACTCCAAGTGTCAGGGTAAACTGGAGGTTCAGATGGAAGGCCTGTGGAGCACTGTGTGCAGTTCCAGTTGGAGCTGGAAGCAGGACCTCTGGAGAAATCCCCATCAAGCCTCTGGAGTGTGCCAGCAGCTGGGATGTGGTGACCCCTTGGCCCTCGGCTGCTTCTCTTTATTGAACAGATCCCAGCACCAGATCCTCTGTCATGGACCCCTGGGGTCTTTCTCCAACTGCAGCAGAAACTCACCAGCCAAGTGCCTTCCACTGACCCTGATCTGCCAAGGTGTGTGATGCTGTGTGGCAGGCACCCTGGGCTGAGGCCTGGGAGGGTAACGGGATGAAGAGGGCTTCCCAGGTTACAGTGCCCTGGCTGTGGACAGGAGAGAGGACTGGGTAAGGGGTAAGCCAGAAGGTGCTGCAAGTGGCTGGCAAGACTGAGAAGCAGGATCTGGCTCTGACAAAATGCCAACCTTGTCCTTTGGGCCTCCATTTTTCTGTCTGGGATATGTGGGACTGCCACCTCTCAGGGAGTTGAGAGGTAGAACGGGGGAGGGGACAAGTTAGCTTACCAACAAGTGGTACTAAGGTCACAGCCCTGTGTTGTCACATTGCCAGCTCTCCAGGTCCCCCCCCCCACCTTCTTCTCTCCACTCCCCACTTCCCACCCTTGTCTGTGTGTTTCACTGCAGAGCCCCTAAGGATGACACCTCCACCCACAACTGCTCCACCCACCACCATGCCGGAGCCCACAGGTAAGAGGGTTCTTGGGCCTCATGGAAGGCAGGACAGGGAAGGGACCGATAGAGACAGTAAAGAGCCAGGGACCAGGTATGACGTAGCCATTGCACCCTTGAACTCATAGCAGCTGTGGTTAGCTGCACGAGATTAGGTTGTCAACACTCCTTACTGGAGGGAGGAGGGACCCATGAGACCTCACTCCTCCCTGAAGAAGCATAAGCAGTTAAAGGTGGGGAGGGCATTTTCTTCAGTGCTATGGCCACTGGTAAGGTACCCATGTCCCTAAAAATGGCCCTAATTAAATTCGTTGAGTCACCAAAACAAACAAAATCCAAGAGGCCCAGTTACATCTAAATCCCAGTGGGAAAGATTCAGGGGTGTCCTGTGCAATGTTTGGGACCCTCGCCTCCCAGGTATTCATGTGCTGGTGCTCAGCAGCAAGGCATTCTGAAAATCATCCAAACTCAGACATGCTTTCCCCTCCAGCTCCTCCCAGACTGCAGCTGGTGCCGGGACACGAGGGCCTGAGGTGCGCTGGTGTGGTGGAATTCTACAACGGCAGCAGAGGTGGCACCATCCTCTATGAGGCCAAGGACAGGCCCCTGGGCCTGGGGAACCTTATCTGTAACGCTCTGCAGTGTGGATCTTTCTTGACACATCTGTCAAAGCCAGAGGCAGCAGCAACGCCAGCTCCTAAGGAGCTGAAGGGCCCCAAGCCCTTGCCAATTCGATGGGAGGTGCAGAATGCGAGCTGTGCCTCGCTGGAGCAGTGCTTCCAGAAAACGATGCCCCCGGAGGGCGGCCAGGCGCTATCGGTCGTCTGTTCCGGTAAGCTGAAAACTAAGCACACTCCACCAGGCCATCTGTTGCCTTAGAGTGGGGATGTGGGGTCCCCTGATAGATGTTCAGAGTTTATAAGAGGCCTGAGAGGGATGAAAGAGAAGTTGAAGCCTGAGCCCATGGCCTCCTCTAAAAGAGGACAAGTTAGATGAGGGGACGTCTCAGGCATGGAGCAAAACAACCCCTGCCAGCTCAAAGGAGTCACCATCCAGAGAAGTGGAGTCAGCTGGGATCCTAGCAGGAAGAAGAAACAAGGTTTTGTGACTGAGGCTTGGGAAAGGCCTGGGGTAACTGGAGAGGTGGCCTTTACCAATTGGGAGCTTTCAAATCTCCAGAAAGGAAGCTGGAGGGATGGTAAGGCATAGGAGGTCCCTAAGGTCCGGTTCAGAGTGCAGCTACAGAGGATGCTCTTCCTGGGTCCTGAGTATAAGTGCTGGTGTGGTTGAAGTGGGGAGAGAGGGAATGCTGACCTGTAGGACTTCTATGGGGCCAAACCAGGATTGGGGACAGACCAGAAGAAATCACAGTTCACAGCAAGGCAGAATAAACCCCAAGCCAAGGAAGGGGTAGGTCCATGTCACCGGAAGTGCCCTGCTGCATTCTGGGTTCTGTTCCTAACAGACTACTTGGTGCTGGGCATCCTTCAGTTTTCATCCCCACCCTGGGAGGTGGGAACTACTGTTACTCTCTTTTTCCAAGAGGAAACAGCTCGGCTTCCTCCCAGTATCACAGAGCAGTAGCTGAGATCTGCCCTCGAGCAGGGTCAATCCAGAACCTATTTTCTAAGCCTGAACCACTCAAGGTGAGGCCCTAGACGGGCACCATCCATGCCACCTGGAGAGAGTCTCAGCACTCCTCACGCTCCTAACAAGGCTATTTCAGCAGGTCCTTGGGATTTTTGCCCAAATATAGGATGCGTGGCTCTGAACTATAAGGAATAGAGCAGGACAGCCTACTCCACTGGACAGCTGATAAAAATTGGTCTTCTAGGCAGAAGCAGCCCCCAAGGTTCTCTGACCCGGGTGAGAGGCCCATGGCTGGCTCCAGTCCCGCCCACCCCTCAGCTAGGAGTTCTCAAGCTCTCACGCAGGCTACAACCTGCAAAAGCCGTGCCCAGGGTCTTGCTTTGAAGTTTCTTCTAAATAGAAGATTCACTAGGGCTTTGAAGGTGGATGTTGCCATGGAAACTAGCTAAGCTGTTGAGCTCAGTATTGACTTTAAACCAAGCACAGTTGCTTCTGCCACAGATTCCCAAGCACCACCCTGGTTAGCAGGCATAAATACACTAGGCACTTGGCCTCATTGCCAAAAGCTTTACCTACACGATTCAGGGCTCCAGGCAGTAAAATTTCTGGGTTCTGTCCCACCCGAGGAGTATATCAGTGCTTCCTAGTTCCCAGGTCTCAGTTTCCTCTTCTAAAAAGCTCTCCCTCTTCCTAAGGAACCGCAAGAGAGTAAAAAGGCTTGGCCACCCTGTCAGCTTCTTTGCCACTGCTGTCTTGAGAAGGCTGCCACCACTTGCCCAGAGGTCCTAGGGACCAGAGTTTGCTCAGGGGAATGGCTGGGGAAAAGAACAGCATCTTCCCTGGAGTGCTCACCACTGCCAGGGCCCTCAGGTCAGCCCTGAACCTCATCATCACTTCCCCTCTGCAGGTTTCCAGCCCAAGGTTCAGAGCCGCCTGGTGGGGGGCAGCAGCGTGTGTGAGGGCATCGCTGAAGTGCGCCAGGGATCACAGTGGGCTGCTCTGTGTGTCCGTAATATGGCCAGGGGTCCGGCGCAGTGGGAGGAGCTGTGTCAGGAGCAGCAGTGTGGCAATCTCCTCTCCTTCCGTGCACTGGATCCTGACAAGACCATCTCTGGGCTCGCCTGTACCCAGGGGAAGCTGTCTCAGTGTTACCAGCTTCAGAAAACGAACACCTGCAAGAGGGTGTTCGTCACATGTGAGTTGACTGCAGCCCTTGGTGGGTGGAGAACAGTTAGAGGCTTTTCCTCCAGGACCTGGTCAGGGAGCACATCTCTAGAGAACGGATCTGAAAGATAGATAAAAGGTCCTGGAAAAGGGACAGAAAATGGGGTTCTGAGAGCAACGATGAGTGGAACAGGCGAGGCCCAAGCAGATCACTGTCAGGCCACTAGCAGAAGCCAGAACTCTTTCTGCCCTTCTAGCTCCTGTTCGCCAGGGTGCAAGCTAGAAAACCAGGGGGTGGATGGGACATATTTATTACATGAATGGCAACTGAATAATGGGTAAAAGAGAGATAGGTACATGGATGGGTAACATGAATGGGGCGGGTGGAGGAGTAGAGAGATAATTGTATAAATGGATGGATGGGTCAGTGGATAGATGGATGGACAGACAGACAAAGGAGTAGATAGATGACTGCATAAGTCATATGATTAGTCATAATAGGAAAGATGGAAAGTTATCAGTCAATACCAAGAGTGGCAAACAGCAGCTTGATGGTCACTGAAGGTAATAAATGGTAGACAAATGTATGGGTACTAAAGACTCCTAGAGACGGCCGGAGAGACAGCTCCCCTCCGAACACACCGGTGGATTGGTAGGAGGTGCCAAGGTACCGGGGAAATCCAGGTATCTGCTGCCCTCTAAGTTGTTCCCCAGGGCTGAGACTGATTTAAGACTTCCCTTGTCCAGGCCAAGACCCAAACCCAGCAGGCCTGGCCCCAGGCACTGTGGCAAGCATCATCCTGACCCTTGTCCTCCTGGTGGTGCTGCTGGTCATGTGTGGGCCTCTGATCTACAAGAAGCTGATGAAGAAATGTAGGTGCCAAACCCGCCTTCCTCCTTCTCCACCCAGTGCTCCCTGCTGCCCACTGGCCTTTTCCTGCCTCAGTATCAGAAAGTCAGGACAAATTATACTCTGTGATTGGCCCTTATCTGGACCAGGCAAAATCCTACTGCAATTGATAAAGGTCACATTATCAGTACAGCCTCTGATGTCACAAGATGTGGCCCAAGTCCACCTCCACAGCTACCCATGGCACTGACTGTGCTGCTGCCTCTATCTGAGCCTCAGTTTCCCCATTTACTGAATGAACAGCTGCATACCTTATGAATGAGGGGGCTTAGAGAAACTGTCCAGAGGCAAAGGAAGATGAGTGAGAACAGAGGCAAGCAGTCTTGGGTCCCTTGTGCCCTCTGGGTTATCAATTCTGGTTCTAAACAAACCCTGTGATCATTTCTGCCTTCATCCAGTGCTTCAGTCTCCCTCCCTAGACAGTTAGGAAATGAGGCAGAAGGCCCATAGCTGTGGTACCAATCAGTCTTACCTTTAGGTCATCTGTGCCTTCCCCTCCCCCACCCCCACCCCTTGTTAATCATCACCTGGCCCTCATGAGCTTCCTGTCTGTTGCCCAGTCCGTCAGAAGAAGCAGCGTCAGTGGATTGGCCCCACGGGAGTGAACCAGAACGGTGAGTGTCCCCAGAGGCGGGTCTCCCTCAGCCCTAGGCCTTAGGCCACAGAAGTCAATCTGTTGAGCACACTGAACCAGCAGCGGCTAGAGGACTCAGCTCTCCACCACATTTCACTAAGGTGTGACTGTGGCCAACAGACGTACCCACACCAGAGAGGGCTGAGGCTTCTTCTAGGGGCAAGCGGTTCTGTGCATTTTGCCTCTTGAGCCTCAGACACCATGGTATTTCTGCTCTCTTGACTTGTGGTTGACTTAAGCAGAGGCCAGAGCCCCACGGCCTTCACCCTCGGGGCAGCCTTCCCCAACTTGATGATCGACAGATGCTCATGGGGATTATTTATTCCATGGTCAAGTGGGGTTAAGCAAGCCCGTGCACTGTTCTTTAGTTCAGGACTTACAAGAACCTTTTGTGTGGCTCCTCTTCAAAGTGGGAAGGCATGACAAAGGCGTGGTCAAGCTAGTGCTAAGCAGAGAACAACTTCAGAGGGCCAGCTTTAGAAGATACTGTTCTGCTAGCCCAAGCCCTCCCCTAGCCTTCATTCTCTCCTTCCAGCCGTGTTCAGAGCTACACTAATGGACAGAAGCATGCACTCTATTCCTCTCCCCTTTCCATACCCAGGCCCAAACCTCTCTAAAAGATTCTCTGTTTTGTTTGGTTTTAAGTAACACAGGCCTGCAGCTCCTGATACACGGGAGCACGTACGTCTCCCTAGCATCCGCGTTCCAGCTGCCTGCTAGGTAAAAGCTTCACGATCCACTGAGCAACTGGAGGCTCTCTTGACCAATCAGACTGCTCTGACAGTCTGAGGCTGCCCCTGCTGGCATGAATCTCCCTAGAGAGAAAGAAAGGGTTGAAAAGTACTACCCTTCTCCCATGACCTCATGGAGGCAGGAAGCTAGGCTGTGGGGTCCTGCTCGAGAAGGATGGCACCTCGGTTCTAACAATGCCACTGGCCTCCCGTGTCTGTTTAGTGTCTTTCCACCGCAGCCACACGGCAACTGTAAGGCTTGAGACCCCGATAACCTCTCATGTGGACAACGAATACAGTCCGCCTCCCAGGAACTCCCACCTGTCAGCTTACCCAGGTGAGCCCTAGGGGGCTGCTGGGGGGGGGGGAGGGAGCAGGCTAAGCGCTAACCTTGAAGTTTTGTGCTTGTCTGAAGAGGGAAAGGGAGGCTCCAGGGGGTAGAGGATGAAACTGCCTGCTTGACAGCTGGTCCCAGCAGGGTGGAGGCAGGAAAACAGCCTTCACAGGTCTCTGCTGTCCCTTGGAGACCTTGAAACATTCATCTAGAGAGAAGAATGCAGTTGGATAGATGCCATTAACCCCAGCCTTGCTGTGACCTAATGGGCCTGTTTGCCTGCAGGCCTTGAGGAATTGGATGATAAATGAGCCCCTAGGATCTCTCTGAGCCAGGACAGAGCCATTAAGTGGTCCACAGGAGCCTCCAATACTTGGCTTCTCACAGGCACTCACAATTAAGTCCCAGGGGGTCTGGAGTTTAGCATCATTAGCGAACACTTGGCCAGTCTGATCAAAACTGATACAGGGCTGTCACCAATTCAGAGCACCTCTGTGATCTTGCAACCCACTCAGCTCCTGGGGCATTGTGTAGCCCCCAGACTTCTTTAATCAGTGTGTTCTCTCTAGCTCTGGAAGGGGCTCTACACCGTTCTTCCACCCAGCCTGACAACTCCTCTGATAGCGACTATGACCTGCAAGTGGCCCAGAGACTGTAAGAGGTGAGTCTGCCCCTGCATGGTGCTTGGCACCCAGGACCTGCATCCAGCCCTGGGGCCCCGGCCTCTCCAGTGTCCATAATAGCGCCTCCTAGCCTCTTGTTTCATATAAAGGGGAAGACTAAGCTAGGTCTGTCACCGGGACACTTCAGAGGCAGAGTCACAAGTCTGAGGTGAACCTAGTCTACAAGCTAGTTCTGGGCCAACCAAAGAGCCATAGCAAGTCCCTGTCTCAAAAAAAAAACAAACAAACAAGCAACCCCACACCCGCCCCATCCCATCCAACCCCACAATTTAGATAATGGAGCCACCTGGGCAAATTGCAGAAGACTCGTTAATCCTAAAGCCATCCTGGAAAATTCCATCGTGAAAAGGCACCGAGAAAGATACCTGCGAGAGTTGGGGTGAGAGCTGCCAGTATAGCAGAGACTTACAAGCAGGCAGACCTGAGTTCCACATCCAAAATCCATATTTAAAACAACAATAACAACAAAAACAAGTGGGTGTCGTGGTAGGCACTTGCCATCCTAGCCGTGGTGTGATGGGAGGCGGTGACAGGCAGCCCCTATAAGTTTGCTGGCCAGCTATCTTAGCCTATGTGGCAAAGTCCCAGGCCAATGGCAGACCCTGTCTCCAGTAGAAAGTAGAAGGTGCCTCCAGAGTGACACCCGAGACTGCCCTCTGAGCTCCACAGGCAAGTGCACACGTGTACTCCCATAACACACACACAAAGACCCCTGAGGGCTCGAGACAGTCACACCCTTCAGACCCGCCGTGCCTTTAGCACTGATAACTTCCAGGCACAGGACGGCAGCTTTCCCAAACTGAGCCCAAAGCATCCTTGCATACATCCCCCGCATCCCTGGTTCCCCTCCACGGTGCCCATGTTTATGCTCTGACATGTGTCCTTTCACCTCACAGACCTTGGAACCAGCAACAAAAGGCCAAGCAGGGCCCTTCTGTCCTGAGGAGCATTTGCCACTTGGAGCACCACCCCTATTTCCACCTCAGCCAGCACCTGGACAGAGGCCAAGGTCCTTTGGAAAAACTCCTGGGCCCTGCAGCAGCAGGCCAGTTCCTATTTCCCCCTGGGGCCATGACAGCCTGTCTGCTTCCTCCAAGAGCCAACACTCAACAGAGCCTCGAATCAACCAATCCTTCTAAGCAAAGACTCCAGTATCCAGAGGGGTTCCCACCCTCTGGGGAGCAGTGACCAGCGGGGTCGGCTTTCTCCTTGGCCTCTGAGGCCACGAAAGAATGACAAGGCAGCACACACCTGTGTGGGAGTTTATTTCTCAAGTGTATTTTTAATATATTCTTTGTAAATAATGTTTTTTTCTATTTCCCAAGAACTTAAGTACTGCAGTCTGTTGTGTCCAGGGCCCCACCCTCCAGATCCTTCTGATGAGAGACTTACTGAGTCCTGTGTAGCCACCATAATCTCAGGCTGCACACCTGAGCCAAAGAGACCCTCGTTTTCCCTCCTTCCACCTTCTCCATCCCTCATCCAAACACATCTTCCCCTCCAGAGTGCAAGACTTGCTGGCTAGAAAGGCACTGGTACCCTGCCCCCACCAGAGCCTAGCATAAAGGAGCACCCAGCCAATCCTCACCCACTAGGCTTTTTATTCCTCACAACAGTTAGAAATCCCAGCTCAGATATTTTCAGCTAACCTTCAAACCGAGGAATTGGAGAAGAGGATTGGGTATGTTCCTAGGGCTTAAGTAATTCCCTTCAACTAAGACATTCTCTAGAGGTTCCCTGACTACAGGCAAGGGGAAGGAGCCACCAGGTCTAACCCAGGGATAGGTTGTGTCTTGGTCATGAAGACTTCAGGCACACAGGTATCAGTGATCCGTCCACAGCAGCCAACTCTGGGAAAGCAAAGAGGGGTCACTAGAACACGCTGGGAGGGGAACAGGGAGCTAGGGGCACCATCATTCTAGAAAAGTCTGCTAAGTAATTGCCCTTCCTACAACACCCCTGTCCGCCCAGGCTTCCATTTGGCGTTTTTTTGTTTTTGTTTTTGTTTTTTTCATTTTAGCTATGTTTGTATAGGCATGTCTTTGTGTGGAAATGTACAGAGTCAGACCCCCTGAAACTGGAGGGTCACCCGATGTGAGTACTGGAACTGCACGCTGCTCACTTGTAAGAGCAGTATACACTAGGAATCAGCGCCATCTCTCCAGCCACAGGCCTCTGTTCTAACGGTACAGTCACATAGAGCTAGGAACCCAGAAACAGGGTCTGCCACTCACTCACTCACACAGAACGGGAGGAAGGGGGCCATCAAAGGGAGCTATGAGGGTGTAACTAGAAAGAGGGATCCAAGGCGGCCATTATCCCCCACAGGTGTCTTTCTTGTAAGAGCTCTTTAGTTTGCCTCCCAGTGGCATCAAAGCTTCCACAGCCTATCTTACAGGAAAAACACACATACACACACACACCAAAAAGTTTAATAAAAAGGAATCTTTAGAAAACTGTTTGTGGGACTGAGTCAGCAAAATGCTTATCATGCAATCATGAGGATCCGAGTTCAGATCCCTAGCACCCACACAAAAATCTAGGCTGAGCAGCGAGCATCTCAAATCCCCGCACTGAGGAGGCAGAAACAGGCTCCCTAGAGCTCCCTGGCCAGGTGGTCTACCTCAGTGAGCTCAGGTTCAGTGAGAGGCCCCACCTGTCTCAAAAAGTAAGGTGGAGAATGACTGAGGAAGACCTGACGTCATCCTCTGATCCCCATATAGGAACACACACAATAAAACTCACAAGCTTTGTGGGCCTGCGTGGAATATCCCAACAAGACCCGCTTGGTCACACAGCCATGTAGAAACAGTATATCATTCCTTATGGCGCTGGTCAAGTTGTAGGCTCAGCTGGAGGGTCTGACCCCCAGGTCCCCAGGCCAGCACTGCTCCTCCACTAGGAAATTCATGGCAAACATGTCCCTCAGTCGCCGAGGTAGCCCTGTTGTGACCTGGGCTGTCTTGGGGACTCCATTCTACATCACAGCCCAGTGGAACAAAGTAGGATGTGACCCTCCCACTCCTCGGTCCCCTATCTTCCTGCCCACTTCCCTAAGTGTTACTGGACAACCTCTGAAGTACCCTGTGCACAAGCTAATCCTAGTGTATTCTCACAACAAGTCAAAGAAGCTGAAAGCCAACAGGCAGTCCCTGAGATGACCAAGCAGCATCCCTGCCTCAGAGCTAGGACATTCCAAAGCTCTCCCCAGCCAGTGAAGCAGTCTCTAGACCATATCTCTTCCAGCCACATTCTGTCCCCAGGGCCTGTCACTGTTGTGGTACAGCAAGAGGCCTATGTGATGTGGTAAATATTTCGCAGGAGGTAGGGAGGGCCTGTGGCAGTGTGTGCTGCCTTCTCAGTTATGAGCCCAAAGGGAGGGAAGAGAACCAGGATGCCTCGTGCAGTGACCAGACCACGTGGCTCTCCAAGTCCTGTCTTCATCCTCCACCCCAGCTGCCACCACTCTGGTACAACCCACAGCAGGGGACTTAACTGCTACAATGAGATCTGCAACTTATTCCCGAAGAGCTGCTGACATCATCCGGCTCCCTGACATCCTGTGCACCCAGCCCCAGCTCCTGCCAGGCAACTCAAACACAGCTGGGAGTGAAGGGCAATAAATCAGACTGAAGTTGTGTGTCCTGGAGACTTCTAGCACCACAAAGGCATGGTGCTGGACCCCTGCTGCGCTGCGACTGTGTGGATCTAAACCAAGTCTTACCTCCATGTGCAACCTGGTCACCGCACCACTCCAAGGTCTCTCTCCTCTTAAAACTGGGGCTAGGAGGGCTAAGGTGGCTGTGGAAAGGATCCTAGCAGATACATGCCATATTCCTGGTGACTGTTAGCACCTCTGGGCATGTGCCATAGGCAATCTACCTCTGTCACCTTGCCAGGAAGAAAAGGCAGAGAGCTGACTTGAGGAACCCTCAGGAACCTGATCTCCTACATTCTCCTCGGCTTCAGGGTAACCACCCTGTAACAGCACTTAGATGAAGCTGTAGAGAACGCAGCCCAGTCCATAGAAGGCTACTTGGTCCCAGAAACAGTTCGGCACCCCTGTCCCTCCTAGCATACTCTGCAACCCTGGTTAGAAAGCCATAAACCACAGCCAGACTGAGGGTGTAACAGAACACTTTATCTCCCAACCCAGACTGAGGCACAGGTGCCCCCTGGTGGAACTGAATGGCCATGCATGCGGCCTAGGACAAAGCAAGCATTCCAGGCTTCAAGAAACAGCTAAGGAAAACCAGAGAAGAAAATGCTAGAAAGAGCCAAGCCCTTTGGCAGTCGGGTGGGCGGGGGAGTCAAGAAGTGGCCATGGAAAGAAGGCGCTCTATAGTCTAAGGCTACAGAAGTCACCGCCCCACAAGCAGCCACGGCTGCTCTCAAACTCATCAGAGACGCCACACACACCTGGGAACTCATCAACGTTTATTATGGCAATTACACAAACAGGCGGTCATTCATTCAGTTCAGCAGCAGTCGACCAGACTCCATTAGTGATTCCTTTCTATAAATAACTTAGGAGAAGCAAGCAGAGTTGGTAATGCACCCTGTGGGCAGGGTGGCACCAGAAGATGGGGTTCCTCCGTGACCCCAGCACCTTGGCCCACCAGAGGCTGGGTACCCAGGCAGGAGATATTTCAAGGCACATACAACTTTCAAACGTGTGGCAGCTCCAGGGGCCACCCTGAGACCTGGTTCACATCTGGACCGGCCACACTGATGTATCGTCTGCTGCAACCCCTTTGAGATAGTGTAGACACTTTTATTACTAAACAGCTTTGGCCCCCACCAAGTGCTGGGGCTGCACTCACAATCCCTGCTCTTTACATTCTGAAGACGAGAGAGTGTAGAGAAACCAACCCAATGTAGTGATGATGTCTGGGAGCACCATTGGGATATTCTGTGAGGGCAGGGCCGCTATCTGTCTTGCAGGAACATTGGGGACAGGACAGGATAACACAAGGATAGAGGGGCTACTAGCGAATGAGATTCAAGGCACTAAAGGAGTGGAGGGATGGGTGAACCTCAGAAAAAGCCAGCCGGAAGTAGAGGGCCCCAGGAGTGAAATGGTGGCTGGGAGGTAACCGGGTCCTCAACCCCAGCCAGAGGCTTCAGGGTGACCCCTAGGGCATTCAAACATACAAGCGAGGCCTGGGTTTCCCCTGGCATTCCCCAGCTCCCTCATCAGTGCTGCTGTGGTTCCAGCCAGCGCACAGAACATACTAGCCTGACATTGGCACAGCAGCTAAATTATGGCTTTTAGGACTCAAAGTCCCTGTTTTTCCTGACTGTTACTTCCGTCGACCCAACTGTGGTAAATGAGATAGACCATCCTTAAATGGAAAGACAGAGCTGTGTCCCTTGGCCCTTGGCTCCACATGAATCATGCCAAGTTCTAAGGGAGAGCCTGCCTGTCATCAAGATCACTCTGCACTGGTTCAGATGGCAGGGAGCAAGCGCAGGAAGCCGTGCATAGTCGAACACACTTGCTCATGCAGACACTGGAGAATCCTGGGCTCACACCAGGCTACCTCAGGATGTGCTGAGCTGGTCCCTGGCAAAAGGTGCTCCCAGAAGGACCCATGTTGCACTGTCCAGGGCCTTTCAGGGGCCTATGTGTCCCTACTCTGCAGGGAGTATTGGCCCCACTTCCAGTGTCAACCTCAAATCTCAGCAGATGGAGGCCAGAGGTCATGGTGCAGATGGAAGGAAGAAGGTGGACAGGGATCAGGGCTAGTATCTAGGCCAGGCAGGTCCTGGAGGATGAAAGCCATAGGGAGGGGTTGGCCCAGGAGGATATGGAGGTTGAGGGGGCACTGGAGGCTGTGGCTGTCCTGGGAAGCCTGGGAGCTGAGGTTGTGTTGGGTAGGGAGGTTTGCTTCTTGATGGTAGGTAGGGGGACTGTTGGGGATACCCAGGAGCAGGAGCTCGGCTTCCCATTAATGGGTATCCTGGACCAGAGGTGCTAGTTGGGACCATAGGATAGCCAGGCACAGGTGGCACACTCCTCTGTGGGGACCAAGAGTAGCCCGCAGCAGCCCTGGGTCCTGGCTGAGGTGCTGGGTAAGATGGACCCAGAGGCCCACCATAGGAGGAAGGCTGGGACACCACAGGGAAGGGGGCTGGCTGTAGGGCTCCCTGGGCTGTAGGGCCCACAGGCAAGCCTGGCGATGGGCTGTAGGGTAAAGGGTAGGGAGTCACAACAGAGGGCTGTGGAGGCTGGTCTTCAGTCACAGGGGGTGTCGCCTGGGGCGCTGGGCGTGGGGGCGGTGGACGTGGTGGAGGGGCATCTCCAGCCAACTCCGGCAAAGCCCGGGGCCGCCTCACCACGTCCTGGAGCTTCTCCACGCGGACTCGGCGCAGGTGCAGCAGTGTCCTCATGGAGGAGAAGGACTCTAAGAAGGTCTCCAAGGGCACCTCACCTTCCAGGAACTTCTCAGCCATGGCCTAGAGGATACAAGACCTGTTGGCAACAGAGACCTTCCACAGCCTTCCCCGGCCCCCCTTCAGAGTGGCTCCCTCACCAGAATGCCAACTCCTCATTGTCAAGACCATGTCTTCCATGGTCACACTGTCCCCTTCCCATCACTATGCCAGGCCCCTGGGAGTCACTCTAAGTCTGTTCAACAGCTGGGCCTATGCAAGTGACACCTGCAAGCTGCCTCCACCCAAAACACAAAGAAGTCTCTGCCCTCTAAGACAAAAGGGACATCCAGAGAGAGGAGACAGCAGAGAGAGACAAGGAGCAGGGGCCTAGCCTCAGATGCTGGGGTGTCCTCTGTACCATCATCCAACCACGTCTACAAGTTCCCTGGGGCCTGCTGTCAGTCACCCATCCCTGATTCACCATAGTAATACCCCCTTATCCATGATTCCAGTTACTAGAGATCCTCTGGTGGTCCAAAGACACTGCATGGAAAATTCTAGAAATAATCTGTAAGTTTTAAGTAACTTTTATTATAAAATACTGTTACAACTGTTCTATTATTAGTTACTATTCCTATGTGTGTATGTGTGTGTGACTACACATGTGTATGGATGAACACGCACATGTGTGCATGTAGAGGCGAGAGGCCAACATCAGGATCTGTCCACCTCCTTTCTTGAGACAGGGTCTCTACTCTAGGCTCACCAATGGGATCTGCCCGTCTCTTTCGCAGCACTGGGAAGACAGGCGTGTACCACCTAGCCTGGCTTCTTATATGCATGCAGAGGACCAAACTCAGGATGTCATGCTTGTGCAGCAAACACTTTCTCCCCAGCCCATGGTTACTGTTCCTGATCGCTCACTGAGCCTGCTTCATAAACTATACATTTCCACAGACATACACGTACAGGAAAACAGTACTGTCTGCTCAGAAGCGAGTGTTAATTGTGGTCTCAAGTACTCGCCAGGGGTCTTAGAATGTGTCCCTGCACTGTGCTCCACTGCGACTCCAGGGGCCATCTATTCTAGCTACATTCCAAACCTTTGTGCTTTGTGGTTCCTGGGCCTACCATGAGAGCTGGCTCCAAGTGCTACCACCCTGTTTAAGGGAGTGGGGTATCACTCCCCCCTCACCTCAGACTCCTCCTCAATCTTCATGCCTTCGATCTGCAGAAGGTCCAGCAAGGTCCCAGGTTGCAATGCTGAGGAAAATTTCTCTGGAAGGAAGCGGAGAGAGGTCAGCATTTCAAAAGCACTGCTTTAGCTAAAGCTGAGGACTCCAATTTCAAGAAAGGCACATGACATGCCCTCTGTGTGCTTGGGGCCTAGCCACACCAGGGCCCAGCATAGAGTTCCTACAGCTGGTTCTGGGAGCACTCGGGGCTCAGCCACACCAGGGCCCACCACAGAGTTCCTACAGCTGGTTCTGGGAGCACTCGGGGCTCAGCCACACCAGGGCCCACTACAGAGTCCCTACAGCTGGTTCTGTGGGACCCTTTGGATTCCTGTAGGCATTTGCCGTCCTGAGTAAAGAAGAGCTCAAGGACAGAGCCCAGGTCATGGCCAAGTTGCTTCCTATAGGCACAACTGTCCAGGGAGCTCTCCTACCTCCACATGGCCTAGCTCTGCAAGGCTCGGGGTTAAAATGGCTAAGTTGGCAGAGGCAGTCAAAGACACTGTTCCCAGTTCCATGGCTGGAAAGATGCTCAGCTGTTAAAGGCTAGGCTTGCAAATCCCAACTCCACCCAGCTCTAGAGGCACGACTTCAGGCAAGCCCTTGAATCTCTCCAGGCCTTGCTTTCCTCATCTATAAAATCTGAACCACTTTTCACTAACTCACACACACACACACACACACACACACACTTTACCAAGCTATCTAATAAAATATAAATACTCAAAAATTTAGACTAACCACAGGACCTACACCTTTCCACACTGTTGTGCCAAAACACACAAAGCACTTTGCCCAGAGCACGGAGGACAGTGGCTACACCACTGCTGGCCCTTTCCTGTCCTGAGCATCTGTGCTTCCGTGATATTCCAGCTGCCACCCTGTCCTTCCTTGAACAGGAACCCTGTGTGTCAGTCAGCAGGAAAGACGCCCAGAGTGCATGCCCACTGTCAGCTGTTCCTACCCAGCTTGGCTTTCTGTTCCTGGCACCGTTCCACAAGCTTCCGCAGCTCCTGGTATTTGTCTGAAAGGTTAGAGCGGCTGATTTCCAAGGGACCCTGGAACTCCAAGTTCTGCTCTGCCAGGCTCCGGTTGGTGGCTAGTGCCATCTCTCGTTCTAACTGAAGGTCCTGGACCTAAGGAAAGTAGGACAATTGACAATAAGCATAATTGTCACTAGTCACCCTTCAGGGCGCGGGTGGAGAGCTTCTGGATTCAATGTTCACCTGGGGATACTCAGCTTGGTGATCGGCCCTCAACCACAGTCACAGGAGCCTGGGTTTAAACTCCATACAAGACATTGTGATCCAGGAGCCTCACCTTGTCCTGATCAAGGGAGCCTGTGGGGCTGACACATGGGAACTAGGCACCGAGGCTAAACACCTACTCGAGGCCTCTCAAAGGACAAGCACCTGCAGGTGGTTCTGTGCTGGGCAGGGCACGGGTAAGGAAGATCCACTCCTAAGGAAGGAATAGGCCCCAGGTCCCAGTCATTGGTCCCCAAGCTTCAAAGTGAGAAGACATATGAACACGCACGTATGCATACATGCACACAAAGAGGCTGCTAGAGAGAACTCAGATGGCCCAGGCCAGACCACAAGCTAAAAATGCTAAGTACTGAGGGAGAGGGGTGGGGGCAGGGTTCTGGGGCAGGACAGACAACCCTGCCTCCCAGGTCACACATGGTCTAAAGAACTATAGATACTCCCTGAGTGCCTTCTGCTGAAGACGCTTTCCATGACAGCATCACTGGCCCTCATTTAGGCCCCTATTTAACTGCCAGGCAGGCAGAAGCCTTGGAACCTTGCCCAGCAGGCCTAACATAGGAAGGTATCTGCTTCTCTCAGAGGAGAGCTGGAGACAGGCCACCATCCTATCACAATACCATCTGACACCAGCAGAGGGGGCTCAGCACTGACCACAGAAATCAGGGAACATGTCAGTAAGACCAGCTTCCATAGGGGAACAAAAGGTCCTGCAACACAGAACTCCGCCTTGGCCAGCTAGCCACGGCACACCAGACCAGATGGACTTACTCTACAGCGGCCACAGGGAGCCAGGCAGCATCCTGGATAAGGACTTTCAAGAAAGGCAACCCTGCTCTGATCCCAGCTCAGGGCCTCAAGCCCTGAAGCCTACAGCAGGCCGCTGCCTATTAGAAAGAGGAATGTTGCCAGTTATCCCCCAATTGAGAAGGCTGCCAGGGCTCAGGTCTAGAAGTCCTCCACCTAGACTGTCTGCTGCCCACCCAGAAACACCACTGGACAAGCTCACTGGCATTGGAGCAGAGAAACTGGTGAGTCTGAATGTTAGCCAAGGGGGCTAGAGGCTGGCTCAGCATTTAAGAACACATACTGCTCATCTAGAGGACCTGAGTTTGGTTCCCACCACCTGCCATTGCAGCTCCAGGGGATCCAACAGACTCTTCTGGCCTCCAAAGGCAATGCATCAAACATGCACAGATCTACACACCCACATAACAAAAAATACATTGTTAAAAAGAAAAAAAAAAAAAGCCTGGGACACTTGTGTGGTGAACTCAGAATGGAGCCTGGCCTTTCTGGGTCACACACCCTTGGTTATCCTTACACATCCTTGACTTTTCCCTGGGTCTGAAGCATTACATTCATGCCATGCCTCCCTCCCTAAGCTTGACTACACACTTCCACATCTCCCTGCTAGTCCACCTCTTACAAACCACGGCTATGAGGTCAGTCGCATTCTACAGCTCCCCAGAGCTCCCCATGCTGCAGCCCCTGCACTCTCTCCTTTCTGCCGGCTCTTCCCACGGCCCCACGGTGACACAACTGCTGCCTGACCGCCAGGCAGAGGCTTTCTGGAAATCTAAGGAGTTTGTCCTATTTTGCTTCTGCCTATCCCACAGTGAGTATTTTACCCCTCAGAGAATTCAACTCTCTTCTTCAGACATGTTCAATGCCAGGAGGCTGCAGCCCTCACATTTCCGGTAGGGAGAAGACTTGCTCAGCTTGGAAGCAAAGAAGAACTGAGCACAGACTTGCTTTGGCTGAGCTCCACTCCTTTCAGAAACGAGCCTGGGAATTCCCTCAACATTCTGCTGCTTATCACTGACTGAAGAAGCACTGTGGGGCCAACAAGATAGTTCAGTGGGTAAAGGTACTTGCTGCTAAGCCTGACTGACTTGAATTTGAGCCCTTGGCTCCCAGTGGTGGTAAAGAACCAACTCCTGAAAGGTGTCCTTTGACCTCCACACTTGTGATGTGGCACAGACACAGGATAAAATAAAGACCTTTGGAATTTGATGACTGAGCATCCCTAATCCAACACCCCAAAATCTAAGATGCAGACCTTTCTCAATGACACTCTTGTGTTCCAGATTTCGGAGTGCCAATGTGAAACGAAGTTCAGGATTTCAGAACGTCTCAGACTTAACATTTTTTGGATTAGGGTTATCTAACTAGTAAATCTACACAAACATTTCAAACTCCAAGGAATCTGAAATACTCTCACCCCAAGCATTTGGTGTGAGGGACACTCAGCCTGCTATGTGACAGATGAATGTGCCAGGTCAGAGCTCCCATGCTGCTGAAACAGGGTCATTCCAGCCTCAGGACTGTGAGATGAACCACAGCCTTTACTCCCTGCTTAGCAGGAGGCCTTTTGAACCCAGCCCTGGGTATTCTCTAGGGCTGCAGAGAGGCCTGACCAGGGCAGGCGAGCAGATGGCAGCAGAAAGCACAGCAGAGGTGGGAACAGGGCCATGTAGTGTGTGCGGCTGTGGAGCAGGGGAGAGGCTCCAGGATGACGGATGGGAATGCTGGATGGGCAACTTCCTGTTCTCTAACACAGTGAGTTCATAGACACATGCCACATCTGCTCACCAGAGGAAAGAAGGGCACAAGTGAATGCCAATCCGAGGAGCCCAGCATTACCTGTGCTCCTAACTCCCTCAAACAGGGGCAGAGGACAGCATTTCACAGGAAGGTCACAGGAGATGGTAACAGGAAGGGCCAAGTCAAGCTCTGTAGAGACAGCAGGGTGATGCTTATTCCTGGAAGGGCCCTGTGACTAGGAGCTGAGAGATGGGGTGCTGGCTGCAATGGGGAACATAAAACATGAGTGAGCAATAGAAATCCTGGCAGCCAAGGAAGACCTCTTCAGTCCAAGAGTCATAGGAGAACACAGGGTCTCACAGGCAATGGGGGGGGGGGGGGGGGGGGGGGGGGGGGGGGGGGGGGGGGGGGGGATGGGCTCCTCCTCCTTAGTGTATCAGGGAGCTGTCTCTATGCTCAGGCCACAACGGTGTGAAGATTCCTGGGCCATCTGGGTCCCTGGCTTTCTAGTCCAAGGTGGACCCTGGACTTCCTACCACTCCCTAAGCTCCCAGAGAATCCACGACCTGGCCTGAAACTTCAGGGCTCCTCTCATGAAGTGGACAGCAAGGTGAATCCTGGCTCAAGCTCCTACTAAACAAGCATCCTTGAGAAGCATTTGTTAGGGTGGGTGGGATGGCTCAGTTGCTAAGGGCTCTTGCCACCAAGTTAACAACCTGAGTTCAATCTCTAGTACCCATTTGATAGAAAGAGAATCATTTCTTCCAAGTTTATACCAGGCACACACACACACACACACACACACACACACACACACACACTCTAAATATAATGAAATTTTAAAAAGACCTTAAGTGGAGCTGGAGATATGGCTCAGCAGTTAAAAACACTGGCTGCTCTTGCAGAGGAGCACGGTTCAGTTCCCAGCACCTACATGACAGCTCATAGTCACTCCAGTTCCAGGGCAGCCAACATCTTCGGATGACCTTTATGGGTACCTGGTACACATATACACATCAGGCGCACACAGACAGACATAAAGTAAAATACATTCACTGAGGACATCAAGTGACCAATTACTTAAAAATAAAATAGGAAGAGGAGGAGGAAGAGAAAGAAGAGGAAGAGGAAGGAGGGACAGCAACAGCAGCATTTGCCGGCCCCTCTGTACCTCAGGAGACTCCAAGGCCAGCCGGGTAATGGCATCCGGGTCATTCTGCATGTCCTCCAGCTCCTGCAGCGTTTTGTCTTTCAGCCCCTCCATCTTCCCCTGGAAACATAAAGCAACACCCAGTTTAAGGGGAAGTCACCCACAGGAGGAGCCCAAAGAGATGTGAGGGTCCCTGTGACACATTCCTGGAGCACCAGCCATTGCTCCCCGGCAAACCCTGAGACAGATGAAAGATCTGTTTACTTCACAGCCAAGACTAGATGGCATGGAGCTAACAGGAAAAGGCAAGAGAGGGGCCAGGCTACAGTGACACAGACAAAATTTGGCTCCAGGCCTTAGTACATGACTACTTTTGTCTGAACCTGATTTAAACACCCCTGCCACCTACCCATCCCCCACCAAAGGGCTTTACAGCCCTCAACACTACAGGCCCAACTGTGTCCCTGCTTGCTATATTTAGTGTTGTAGCAATCTCAGGTCTCCCTAAGGATTCTGCAACCGCAGTCCTCTCCACGTGTCACGAAAGCAAACTGCCACATCTACATCCACACTGGAATGTAGGGGGTCATCATCAAATCACTTTCATGGGCAGTCATAAGGGCAAGAAAGCAACTGACCCAGACCGGAGGTTACTCTGACAGAGCGGGGTCAGTAGTCCTCCCCCATCATGCTCCCAAAGGCCTTCTGTCATCTGTGCGACAAGTCACAGCCTGGCCTGGGGGAAAGTCTGGGGCCAGGAATCCTCTCTTTCTGCTGACAGGACCCTCTATGCTTACATTTTCTCATCCTTCCTATATATGCAGGCTTTAGAACATGCACATCGAGTGATCTCATAAAGGTTGCTATTTCCAGAAAATTCTAGCTCTGAGGAGATCAAGGGCCCTCTCCCCTCCTTTTGTCTGTTTGGTTGGTTGGTTGGTTTTTGGTTTGTTTTGAGACAGCATTTCTCTGTGGCTTTGGAGCCTGTTCTGGAACTAGCTCTTGTAGACCAGGCTGGCCTCGAACTCACAGAGATCCGCCTGCCTCTGCCTCCCGAGTGCTGGGATTAAAGGCGAGTATCACCACCATCAGGCTTCTCCCCTCCTTTTGTAGAGTTGCTGGGGGCCATGCTGTTGACTCAACTAAGAAGGCTTTTGAAAGTTAAGAGCCAAGGTAACAGAAGCATCCTTCTCTGGGTCTGTTTTCCATCTGTAATAGGAAGGGGATGGCATCCCTAGGTGAGGAGAGAAAGGAATGAACAATGATAGCAAGCTCCTCTTGTCAAGGTCCTCACCCTGCTTTGGGCCTGACCTGTCTCCTTTTATGTTCCAAGTGTCCTGGTTTAAAGAACAAATGACACAGCCACCCTGCTACTGAAGAGCTACTTAAGTGGGGCAGTACTTAAGTTAGCCATCGTCTCCTGAGGGCTCCACACTGCCCATCCTCTAAATAACATGGAAATTCATCATGACATAAGTGCCTACCCCATCCAAGCCTCAGCACCAGAAGCCCACAGTCCGCCCTGGGGACATGGATGCAGCTGGTCTAAGAAAGGATAGCTCCACACTTATTATATCATGCAGGAGGCAACAGATTCTGGGCATCTACAGTGTGGCCTACACTGCCTCACCCAGGCACTTGGATCCCCACAAACCATGCAAATTCAGGCTCGGCATGGCTGCTGACCTGTGCTCTGAAGATAAGAGTCAAGGGACCTAGGAGCCAGCTGGCTAGTCAAACTAGCCATAATGGTGACCTCTGGGTTTAAGAGAGACCCTGCTACAGTGAATGAGGTAGAGAGGAAGGAAGGTAAAGGAAGACTTTGAACATCAATCTTAGACCTATGCCCACATATGCATGCACACATATGTGCATCCACACATGCACACACAAATACATAGGAGAGGAAGGTAGGAAATTCTTACAGAGTAATTCTTCACAATGAAAAGACCCAAAGGAAGGGAACCAAAAATCCCACCCTGGACTGTGTGCATACTTCACCCAAAACCCTTGGTCTAGCAGCCAGAACACAGGTGCAGCGGCCATGGGTTGGACCATAGCCCTGAGGAGAAATAATACTGTTCCACCAAAACCCAAGTGTGCCTGCAGTGAAGAGGACAGCACTTTAAAGATCCTACGACTCACTAGGCATGGTAGTACATGCCCATAGCCCCAGCACCTGGAAGACAGACATCAGGAGTTCAAGACCAGCCTGGACTCTATGAGCTCTGTCTCAAAAAAAAAAAAAAAAAAAAAAAAAAAAAAAAAAAAAAAAAAAAAAAAAAAATGGCTGAGGATGTAGCACAGTTTGCAGAGTGCCTGTCAGCAGGCACACAGCTCTGGGCTCCATCCCTAACACAACATAAAACCTGGCATGGTGACACACATCTTCAACCCCAGTGCTTCAGAAAGGCAGAAGCCAGAGGACCACGAGTTCATGGTCAGCATGGGCTACATAGTTCAAGTCCAGTCTCAAAACTATGAAAGACCTGAATACACCTAGACACATGCAGTCCAGACTTAGCACGAGACCAGTTCTTTCACCTGTCAGCTATGTCCTCACCCAAATGGAAGCTCCTAGAGCCTCAGGTTCTTCATCTGTAAAATGGACTGAATGACAGCACCTCCCTCCCAGGCTCAGTGACACGAAGCACAAGATCCATGTTCAGCACCAGAACAAATGCTGACCAAAGATTTCAACACCACAGAAATTATGCAGGATCACGGTGGCCTCCAATGTGGCTCAGTCAACTTCTCACTGGGCCACAACAGCAGCACTTATCACAGCCCCACCCACCAAGCCCAATGCCTGCCGCTCTTACGTCCTGGGGGCCCAGGATGGCACCCGGCTAACCACACACAAACTACTGGTCAGCAGTACCAACTGGAGAAACCCCAGCAGCACCAGGACCTTTCCCCACAAAGAGGTCCATTCAGCAGAGCCCTGCGCAAAGCTGAGAGTTCCTGGGGCTGTCTTCTGAGGTTTTCCTCTGGCACACTTGCTGTGCCTCAGGAGTCCAAGCCCCAAATGGGGAGACACCACAAGCCCATAAGCCCACAAAAGCAGCGCACTGCTTACCCCAGGGCTGCTATTCCTGCCTCTTGGCCCGAGATGGTTCCTACCATCCTCAGCACATCCCTGGCCCAGCAGGCACACACTGCTCTGTGAGAATCCTCACAGCATAACCCACTGGATGTTACAGGGGCTGGTCTCTCACAAGTCAGATATTACCTACTTTTCAGAGCCACCCAGAGAGCCTAGAGCAACACGCACTTGTTCAGGGCCACCACTTGGAAAAGGTGAGAAGGGGACACTACTGGAGACCCACGCAGCAGCTATCTAAAACTGTGACTCTGGGGCCTGGGCCTCTGCTGCTAGCAACATCTAACTGCCACCAGCTAGACAACAGCAGACAGATTTTCAGAGTGACCAAAACCACCAGCAGGGATGTCACAGAGGAGGGAAGCAGGGGTTGGTAACACATTATTTAGGGAACAAGTCCTTACTCAGGCTTTTGTTTCTAGAGAGCTGGCAAGTCCAATCTCCTCAGGCCTCGGTGCCAGGGCTCTGACACCTACTTTCCCTCCCATGACTGCTACGTTGCCGGGTGACTCCCTGGGGACAGTGCAAGGGACTGCTGGGGGAGGGGAACTGGGAGCAATGTAAGAACGGGTAAGGCCCTGGGCATTCATCTTTGTCTTCCCAGTTCCTGGCACAGACCTGCTCACAGGCAATTCAGAAAGAGCCTAGAAAGAGTGGAGGAAAACAGGGAAACACCAGGTCAGCCAGATGATAGGCAAGTTCAATAAGGTGCAGAGGCAGAACAGCCCATCCTCCCACTTGCTCAAGCCTTCCCTCATATCTCCGTCCCTTTATGGAATAGGCATTATTAAACAATTACTATATGCAAGACCATATACACATCACAGCAGAAGGAAATATGTAAATATGAATTTTATGAGCCTGGTTTAGCAGACATATTAAAAAACAAAACACCTTTCTTCTTCCTCTCATAGAACTCAGTTTGTTCTATAAATCATTATGAACACATGACCACAGGGAAGAAGAGGCATGAGGTGTGGACCAGTGAAGCAAGGTGGGGACAGGGAGGCGGGAAGGATGACAGCTGGGAGCAGCAAAGGCCAGAGAGGAGCTCATCTGGGAGGCCCTGTGGGGGCCGCTGCAAACCCTACAAGGGGAGCTGGGTGGCAGGTGAGGTCGCTGCACAGCAGTCACAGGTACAGAGGGATAACAGTTTTTCCAGAGGTGACACAGACACCTCAGAGGTGACCAGACTGTGGTGAGGTGGGAAAGTAACAGTGCAGGAGCCAGGCTGCTCTTCTCCACAGTGGTGGGGGGAGGTGGGGAGGGAGGCGAGAACCCATCCCTGCTGCCTGCGCCAAGAAGGGATAGGGCTTGGTTTTGTTTTCCCCACTCCCATCTTATCCCTGACTTTTTCTTTAAAACTTTGCCTCCTCTGTTCTTTTTACCTTCACTAGAGGTCACAACTACAGCCATGTGTGACGAGCCAGGCCCACAAGTCTGAGGCCAAGCATGGAATGAGGACCACGAACCCCAGTAAAGCCACAGACTCTGACCCCACACCAGACCCTCCTGCAGGAAAGGGTGATGGCTGTGCCAAGCCTGCCAGCTCCCAGGAGAGCTACAAGGCCCAGTCTAGATGCATGGCCCCATTTAGAGTGGGCCACAATGATGGAGATGGGTCTTGTATCTCTTATCTGTTGCTTTCATTGGTTAACTAATGAAGGAAACTGCTTGGCCCTCTGATAGGGTAGAATTTAGATAGGTGGAGTAAACAGAACAGAATTCTGGGAGAAAGAAGCTGAGTCAGGGAGTCGCCATGATTCTCCCACTCCAGACAGACGCAGGTTAAGATCTTCCCTGGTAAGCCACCTCGTGGGCTACACAGAATATTAGAAATGGGTTAGATCAATATGTAAGAGCTAGCCAATAAGAGGCTGAAACTAATGGGCCAAGCAGTGTTTAAAAGAATACAGTTTCCGTGTAATTATTTCGGGTAAAGCTAGCCGTGCAGGCAGCCGGGTGGTGGGAAGCAGCCCACCGCTCCATATTACAACACCACAAAACCCAGGCCTGT